TGCACGGTATTGCAAATGCCGCACACCAGGAAGTAGGCCACTCACCAGTGTGGGCTTGTATGTGCCGGGTGTGCCCAGGCTGGCAAGCTGACAGAATTCATCCTCCATTCACACTGTTTCCTCCTCTCTCCCTGACTCACTCTGGGCCCTGCATCCCCTATTTATCTTCCCTCCCCACTCCTCCCCTCCCCATCCTGGGAATCCCCACAGCAAGCTTTGGGCTCCTTTTGTCAACCTTGTTGCCACAATAACCATTACTTCAGGATCAAGGCCTGCTTCAACTGGGGGGGGGGGGGAGAGCAGTAATAAAGGGGCACAGGATAACCCTTTATTGCCCGTATCTTCTGAGATTGCCCGCTGCCTGCCAGCCTAAGGTGCTGATAATGGAGAATCTAGCACTTAACACAAATCTGAGCTTTTTCTTCCTTTTTTTGTGATTGCGATGGTACATGCAGGACATGCGGAGGCTCCATGAAACCTTTTAGGATGCGTCTTCCGAGAATCCTTTTTTTAATTTTAAGGATGGTACCAATAAAGGAGAATATTTGTAGCTCAGGGTTGAAATGAAGGGTCCTTGGTGCTCTCTGAGCTTGGTTATTGTTTTGCAGACTTTTCATTACCCAAACTAGATAATGTCATCGGTGCTTCTGATCTCCAGAGTGCACTGATGATGTTACCTAGTTTGGGTAAAAAAATGTCTGCAAGAAAACAAGCTCAGAGAGTCAGAGGACCCCTCATTTAAGGATGGTGTCGGAAATCAGGGGGTCTTGCACCCTTCTGGGGTTTTGGACCACAGCTTCCAATCATCATCTGTGCATGAAGCAGCCATAGATTGTGGGAAAATCTAATGCATCTGGAAAATGACAGACTACTGTACCTTTTCCTAAATGGTGATAACTGGTCTACAACAATAATCCGGAATACTGCATCTAAAAGTTGTAGAAAATCCTGCTTAGGGCTCTGAGGAGCTTTTCAGAATCTCTTTGCCAAGGAAGGAGTTGTGCTTTTGTAAATAAAACTTGAAAGTCTGCCACTTTGACCCTGAATGTCGGGAAATGTAAGGACTTTTTTTTTGGTTAAACCATATGCTTGTGATAATAATATGTGTGAATCATGCAATATGCTAAGGATCCAGTATAGGCTTGAACAGAAAAATAGGGAGAAATTATGTCTGGTAAATGTAAAAATCTGAATATAAGATAGAATATTTCAGTTTTGGCCTTTAGGACAAATTGCAGGAGTTGAAATAACCGACCAATAAAATTGCAGATAAGGGGGTTGTGATGTGGGAAAGGCTGTAATAGGACTTCAGAATATTGTATGAAACAGTAATAATATCATAACAGCAATAATAATAGGTATATTCTACTTATATAAAGCACATTTTAACCTGCTGCATTTTTCAGGGGGCCTGACAATGATAATAAGCAAAAATTCTTATTAAGACTGCTAAGTAAAATACACAAATTATTTAGATATACCAATGTAAAGATGCCTTTGATTCAGGCTCAGCTCATGGTGGCTTCTTAAAATTATGCAGAAGCTTTTGAGAACAGTTTGAAAATCAATCAGTCCCATTTAATTTCCAGCCAAAGTTGAGCTTCCCTTTGCTGAAATGTTATTTAGAGCCCCAAACCTATATATCTGCACATTAGTAGGGCTTACCTCTTAGTAAACGTGTAGAGAAAGAGGCTGATACCCAGTGGTGGGATTCAAATATGTGAACAACCGGTTCTCTGTGTGGATGCTGCTTCCGGAAGTCCATTCTGGACCTGGGCAACAAAGTGGTATGAACCGGCTGAATCCCACCACTGCTGATACCACCCAAACCATTTAATTCTGCTGCAGATATTGGAAATTTAAACCCAGTGCATCAGAAGAGCAGCATGATAGGCAAGATTGGCCCAGTACATGTTTGTATGGTTTTGTCTCTGAGAGGTAGGCATTATTGAGCCTGCTGCCTCTCTCTCTCTCTCTCTCTCTCTCTCTCTCTCTCTCTCTCTCTCTCTCTCTCTCTCTCTCCCTCCCTCCCCCCCTCCCTCCCCCTCTCTCCCTCTCTCCCTCTCTCCCTCTCTCCCTTAGTATGTGGAAATCATGAGCACCAAGCAAAGCGAGCTGAATCGGTTTGTGGCGGAAGGCTACAAAGCAGCCCTGATGGAGGAACGGCGCCGGTACTCGTTCCTGGTGGACCGCCAGTGTGCTGTTTCCAAGCACTTTAGCAATTATCACAGCAAGGTGAGCTGCCTCTCTTTTCCCTCCTCCCCTCTCTCCTCCCAACATATGCTTTGGGCTCAAATTCACCCTAGACTAGGAGTCTCCATGGACCGGTACTGAGCCCTGGCATGCCAGCAACTGGTCCGCATAAACAAGCAAAGCCCCATCTATGGGATGCAGGCAGCACACAAAACCACACACTCTCCGGTCCGTGGAAAAAACCTTTCTCCATGGAACCGGTCCCTGGTGCACAAAAGGTTGGGGACCTCTGCCCTATACATCCTCCAGCAAAACCTGGAAACAAGGATTCCTGTGTGTGTTGTGGTTCCATATTTGCAAGAGAGGTGTCAGAAAAACCTCAGTTGTGACCACTATCCTGCCTTTTATGATAATATCCCTGTGGATACCTCTTCTTGCAATGTGGAAGTACAAAATTCCCCATGTTTAACTACCGGTGGTCCTCAACTTACAACCATTCATTTAGTGACTGTTCAAAATTACAGCAGGACTGAAAAAATGACTTATGACCGGTTCTCACACTTACGATTATTGCAGCTTCTCTATGGTTACGGTGATAAAATTGCATCCTGCATATATTCATAATGGTTGCAGCATCCCAGGGTCATGTGATCGCCATTTGCAACCTTTCCAGCCAGCTTCTGGCAAGCGAAGTTAATAGGAGCTGGATTCACTTAATGACTGCGTGATTCACTTAACAACCATGGCAAAATAGGTTCTAAAATGGGCATAACTCACTTAATAACTGCCTTGTTTAACAACAGAATTTTTTGTTGCAATTGCGGTCATAAGTCAAGGACTATTTGTAGAATCAAATAAGGGGGAAGGCAACATGAGAATCCCAAGATGTGTCCTTGATTCCCAGAGGGAAAACCAAAAATACATCTTGCTGCTTGAACTTCTAGAGGGAACGGTGGGAAATAAATATAGACTTTCTCTAAAGTAAAAAAGAAATTAAATGTGGTGTTAAGGACATCTGTTCATTCAACATGAATAGCACAGATACTTTCTGCTAGGGGTGGTGATAATTACTGAGACTGCATCAGGTTTAATTTTTCCTGCTTTCTGAAATGCTGAAGAAAAATCCTCTCTTGTAGCTCCTGTTGCATGGAAGGAGATTGTCTATTAGCACAAATGAAGGATTCCTTCCCAAAACTTATTCTAGCTTCAGTGGAGAGTTTTCCTCAGGAGCCCAGCAAAACCTGTTTAACCAATAAATTAAAATTCCCTTCCCATAGTTGTCTCAGATATACACACAAGCATACCTTTCAGCTGAATGTTAAATGAAGGGATACATTAACTCCTTGTTCTAAGTTTCCAGGCCATATGACTGTGCAGCTAAACTTCCTGTCAACACTTGGAATCAAAGGCAAGCAGAACCCAAGACAACATCTTCATTCCTCAAACTAGGAAGCAATTGTTCATTAACAGAGCTCAATGGATTTTCTGCTGTTGGCAAGTTTTAGAAAGAAAGGGTGTAGATAAAGGAGAATGTAGCTCAGGGTTGAAATGGGGGGTCCTTGGTGCTCTCTGAGCTTGGTTGTTTTCTTGCAGACATTTCATTACCCAAACTAGGTAACATCAGTGGTAGTAGGGAGTGGGGTTTGTTCTCTTTTTATATATCAGTGGCTTGCTTTGTAGGTGTTAGTGGAAGTGGTCTTGGTGGGTTTTTGGTTGGGTTGTTTACTGTTGGCTTATTTGGCAGTTCTTTGATTGGGTTATTGTTCAGTTCTTGATTGTTGTCTGATTGTTGTCTGCAAGAAAACAACCAAGCTTAGAGAGCACCAGAAACCCCTCAGAAAGGGTATAACTTGACTTCCAGTTTGACGTCGTGGCATAACGGGCGCAGGAAGATGGGGCTCCGTCTTCTGTGTTCGATTTTGCCCTGCTGGGGACCCTATAAAGGGTTGAAAGTCGCCCCGAAGAGGTGACGGAGAAGGAGGGGACCCTCATTGATCGTGGGAGGGCAGCAGCCCTTCTGTTTGATCCAAGAAAGCCCTCCAAATCGGCAGGGGAAAGACTGGCTACAGTCGTGTGGCCAGTCAGAAGCTGCTGACAACCGAAGAAAATAAACATTAACCAGCAACTTTTGAGCAATGTGGATGGAACTGGGTGAGACCCTATCCTATCTTTATGACTTTAAGACTTTTTCCTGGCAAAAAACTGCCCAAAGCAAAGAATCCTCCCTGATGAGAAAGGGAAGGGGAATTTCTACCCCATTCCCTCAGGAAAAGAAAAGTGGCGAATTAATTGCTTGGGGGAAAATAGAGAAAATTACAGGATTAATTTGGAAGCAACACACATATATAACTTTGAAATTTGGGGACTAAAAGTGCTTTTGAGATTTTATTTTTTAAAGAGACTTAAAAACTTGTAATATAAGTTTGGATGTAAAAAGCTGGAAGACGGCATCAACAACATCTAGTGGCGAACTACAGTACTACAATTTTTATGCCTAGAGGAAACTTGTTGGAAGCCCAGACTCAGATAAGACTCTTGTTGTTTTCAGAAACTTTCACTTTTGAAGACTGCAGCTGGGAAAAGGAGGGGGGACCTCTTGGACTGCTTATCTGTGTGGTGGAGACAATAAACTATTTTGAAACTGGCCTGCCTGGACTATGAATATAAATACTAACTGACTTTTAGAGCTGTGTCATGGAGCTATTTCCCTATAGAAGAAACATGCATTATTGATTGAGATGATGGAAAACTTTGGACTATAAACCTTTGATTGATGAACAATTTTTAATTGCTTTTCTCCCTCTGGACAGAAAGGGTTTGTTTTTCATTGGACAGAAAAATTTGAAAAATTCAAACTTTACTTATATTTGCTGAGGGGAAACTTAAGGATGGACTTATAGGCCGGCAGGATAATTAGGAGTTCAAATGACAATTGACTGAAACTTTTTAAATCCCTAAATAGATTGGACTACATACAAAAACAAAATGAATGTTTCATACTTAGCTTCAAATGGTAAAAAACCATCCCTAACACCTGTCCCCAAAGTCCTCATCTTGATATAACAACAAGAAAATGCTGATGAATTTCAGAAAGAAATTCTATGTTAAAATCAATACAAGAGACAATTGCTTTAGCTCATGATGAGACTAAAAATAATACAAAGGAGATAAAAGAACAATTCTTTAATCTAAATCTACAAACTCAGAAAATGACTACAAAGAAGGAACTAGCAACCCAGAAAATAGAAGGAAAATCAGAGGAAGCAGATCCAAAGATGGAGGACCTAAAGAAAGGAACTAACAGACAGACTCAGAAAAACAAAGAATTAGAAGACATAGCGATAATATCGGAAATGGAAAAGATATCTTGTAGAGATAGGGGCCAGGTAGAGGTCGTGAGCAGCAAACTGCCCCTCCAAAGCCTGCATGCCTCTCCTCTCTACATGATCTCATCCCTTCACATCACCATGGCAATGTGGGAAACTACCCCAGGCTGGTATAATGACCTCACCTGCCTGATATCAGCTAGGTTACACCAACAGGATGTTGCAGCAAACTGCTCCCTGTTTGGGGCCTCCTGGCTTGTATATTCTTAAGGATTGGTAAGGAGTTTAACCAATAAAATGCTATTGCTACGTTATTGCCATGTTAAACTTTTGCTGCTTGGAAAACTGTATAAAAGAATAAACGCTGTGAAGGCGGTCAGCCATATTTGCACCCTGCAATGACTGAGCACTGATTACTACAGGTGGTGCCCGAACAGGGATGTTTGGGACACCCCCCCCCCGGGGAAGGATGGGGTGTTTTTAGAACAGGCCTGTTATTTAATTTGATTTTAGAATAGAAACTTGTGTATATTTATCGTGGTTTTTAGTATCGCCTGTTCACCGCCCTGAGTCCCGTAAGGGAGATAGGGCAGTATATATAGACCCCTAAGTGCACTTTCGTCCTCTAGGACCCCTCAGTGGTAAGTATGGGTCGCACGTTATCTCAGCACCAGCAGAAACATGCACAGGAACTCAGATTCCTGCTACATAAATCAGGCGTGACAGAGCCTGAGGCAGACATAAGGAAGCTGGTGGATGAGGTAGGGAAACATTGCACTTGGAATCCTGAGCACGGGACACTTAGGCTACGAGATTGGGAAAAGATAGGGCATACTTTACATCTTGAACCTCGGGCTCCAGTACAGATCTTACATCGATGATATCAGTGCCGTCAAGCAGTGGAAACATATGGCTCAGATGCTTCAGAAGGGCAGCAATTAACTACCAGCCCCCCTCCTGATTACAACCAAGTAAAACCTATCCCTCCTAAAGCATCTTTAATTGGATCTCCAGCTCCTTCTGAAGAGGCTAATTCTTTTGCTTCTTCCCAGACCTCATACACCCCCCACAAGGAAAATATTAGAGGAACAATCTCGAAGTAGGAAAAAATAATAAGGGGAATCGTCAGAGTAATTTAAAGACATAAATTAACTCAAAATGTACTCCTCTGCAATGTGTTTTGAACAATTGGAATGTTTTGAAACTTCATGTGGCTGTTAAGTTTAACCCTGTCAGACAGTGTCTGGTGGTGCTTTGTGTTGATGTGTAGTGTGTTTTGTTTATATATATATGTATGTGTATATATATGTGTGTGTGTGTGTGTGGCCACCCAGAACATTATGCTTGGGCTTGGAATGGTGAGAAAAATAGGAGATGGTTAAAGGGCCCTATAAAAACCATGTTTGGTTGGAATCACCTCATGATTTTTCTCGCTTCTTGCAGGACAAGCCATATGTTTAAATAAATGTTGTTTTAATAGTATTTGTGTATATATGTTTGTCTGTGTTGTTCTGTGTTATTTCCAAGACTTGGAAGAGGGTCAAACCCTCTCTGATAACAACACACAAAAAGGCCTTATTAAAAAATAAATGGTTTGCCTGGAGAAAGTATGAAATGAAATATTTGTATGTGGAATTGTTTATGCAAGCAGTTAGAATGGAAGTGAATGAGTTCATTTGTTGATACCTAAGTGTGTGTTAACCCTCAAACCCCACC